ATAGCCAGGGGTCATGTTTAGTAACCCAGCTGGGCCTGGAAGGGTTAGGTGTGCTTTTTAGGAAAGGACAGTGGTCAGGAAGGGAAAGCCTGGGAAACAGGACCCTTTCACATGAGTAATGGGATGGAATCCATCTAGTTGGCAAAGTATGCATGGTCTCTAGAGAGGATAGGAGTCAATGACAGTTGGAGTATAGTCTAAACCCCTTTTTGAATAGAGATCCATCCCATGACCCCCACCCTTGGGAACCTGGGACTTCCTTGTCTCTTGCACAGCATTGCGCCCCAGCAGCAGCGTTCATTCCACCCAGCCCAGCTCTGAGCCAGGGCCCTGGCTGGCCAATCAGATTCTTCATCCAGGAGTTGGCATAGGAATGTAGAGATGCTGGCGCTCAGACCTGGGGGACGTGTGAACTCAGGAAAGCCAGGTGGGGCTGTTGCTGGGACAGGGAGTGAGGGTACTCTGGACGGGTGCACAGTGAGAAACCGAGAAAGAAATCCTGCAGGAAGGGGAGAGGAGCGGGGCGGGGAAGGGTGCCGCCTTCTTTCCTGAAGGGTTTCCAGGCAGTTTCTGGTCCTGGCCCTCGGGAGGCCCAGCTGCATCCCGGCCCGTGGACTCAGGGAGATACCTCGTGTCCTTATATAACCGGCTTATTAAATGAGCTGGACTCAGGTGGAAGAAGAAACCAACCTTATTTTTTCTGCAGTGTCCTTTCAAGCGTCTCAGTAAACTAATTCTTTTCCCAGCAAAGCTGAGAACTCAGCAGGCCCCTTGGTCTTCTTGGTGTCAGGCTTGACAAAGCCCAGTTCCTTCTGACAATGCTGTCATTCCAGATAGTTCTGTGTAGCACTCATGAGTCTGGACTCCTAAAGCCAACCAGCTGGAGCTGGGGAGGGTACAGGTCAGCTTCTTTGCTGAATCCTGGCCAGCCCCACTGCCTCCTCCACTTGCCCACAGAGATTTCTGGCCCTTGGAATTGGAGCAGGGGCCAGAAGAGGTGACAGGAAAGAGCCCATGTTCCGTGGCTGCTCAGTTCTCCTCCAGAGTTGTACCTGCCTGTCCCTGGCACGCAGCCTGAACTCCGTCTCCTCTTTTCTGCTACCAGCCTCTCTCTGGGCACCTCACCTTCTCCTGGTAGGGTAACGCTGCTCCTCCAGCTCAGCTGATGCTCACTGCTGCTTCCCTTGTTCCGTACTTGCTGCCCTGCCCCCACCCCTGTCATCCAGGTAGCCTGCTGTCTGGGAGCTTCCAGAATCTTACACTTCTCACTGCTCTGCTGGCTTGGGCCTCACCAGCTCCGGGAGTGGTTCCTTGTCATCCCTCTCACATGGTTTGGGGTAAGGAAGACATCTCCTCTTCCTGTGTGGCAGAGGACATATCATAGGGACACATCATTCTCCCCCACCCCATGATCTTTTCCTTGCACTTCTTACATAGAATTCAGGTGGGCATCACTAAGCTGCAGCCTGAGGTTGTTCCTTTGTGGTGATGATCTTGCACCTTGCAAGCTCTGGAATATGAGATCCTGGTAATTATTATTTTGTCCTTAGTCTTGGGACTGCCAGGTAAAACTGAGGCAGAGGGAGTGCCTTTTTACATCTTTGTACCCAAAATGTGCCCTTTTTATTTAATCTAGTTGCCTGGGTTTCTTTAACAGATTTCAATAAGACTGAAGCAGGTGAGGTGGTCCTGGAATTCAGGGAGGACCCCTTGGACTCCTGAGTGTCTGGGCTTTAGGCATGGAGGACTCCCATTGTCATTGCTTCCAGTCCTTTGAAGGTTTCTCTTTCAATCTTGCTCACACTGGCAAAATTTGGAGAAGGAGGTTCTGTTCAGTGGCACCTGCTTGGGCACCATTACTGGTCAAAGTATTGGCCAAAACTGGGATGTGTGGGTTTGGCTGGCACTGGAGGAAGTCTGGGCTTTATTGATATCCATCTAGGTCTACAGAGGTACCAACCATGGAGTACTTCTGTGATTATAGGCCTGACAAGTTTGCTGGCTGGAAGGCAGAGGAGCACTGCTGATCTGACTTGGGCAGACCTCCAGATGCTAACTGGCTGTCTGCTAGTGAGAACAGCTCAAGGTCCCCAGCCTCCAGGTCCCTGAGCCCAACTCCCTTTCCCATGATCTTTCTCCAGGTGCTACCCAGTGAACTGACCTCCTACCTTTCATTTTTACTCTGGGGAAAGCAGGCTGCACATCTTTGAGGACCTTACTCCTCTGCTCCATATAGCCAGAGTATGGTTTGGATAATACCCAGATTTGGGTGCCAGGATAGGGCTTGGTGGGGAGTAGGAATTGGTATTATGGTCTGCTTTTATTTGGATCCCAGGTAGCTCAGATAAAGGACTTCTTCATATTGACTAGCTTGACTTTCTAGAACTTTCTGCTTTGGGGTTTGGATATGATGCCAGTGAGCAGTAAGGGTGTACCTCATTTTCCTTTGCCTAAGTTTCCTATATCTCCCAACTCTGCTCCAGATGTTGAGGAGGTGTGGCTGTGGTCTGGGCCAAGGTAGCATTCCCCTGTGACCAAGCAACTGACTGAGAGGTAGAAGGAGGGCTAAGAACTTGTCCTCAGTGCCAACACCTAGTCCTTTCTGGATTAACTCCTGGTGGCACATTCTTGACTTCAAGCCTCAGCTTCAAGCCTCCTGCTCTTCAGTGAGATGGGAATAATAATCCTTCCTTCACAGAGTTGTATGAAGGTGAAATAAAAAATAGAAGTCCATTTTTAAGCATGTAATAAGCTTTACAAACATCAAGTCTTGGGACTGGGGGTATAGCTCAGTGGCAGAGCACCTACCTAGCATTGCAAGGCCCTGGGTTCCATCCTTAGCACCAAACACACAGAGTCTCCTTAACTACACCCCACTCCAGAAGGCTTTCCCACAGTTGTATTCTTGATGATTAAGAAGAACTGCTGGGTCTAAGGACCTAAATGCATTTTAAACTTTGATATCACCAACTTACTCTTGAAAAAATAGTCAGTTTATACCTCAGTCCTGTCTTTGCCAGTCTGAGAGGCAACACATGATGGCTAACCCTTCCCTCAGTGCAACCCCTTAGTTCTCCCTGCAGTTGACATCTTCTCGTGTTTACTGGCCATTTGCAACTTCTAAGGTTGTTCACATACTTGGCCAAGTTTTCTATCACAGTATTTGTATCTTTCTTAATTTGAAAGCTTGGAATATGTCATAGTATTAATTCTGGATTTGCTATTTACATGCAAATATTTTTTTTCTTTTGATATTTGCATCTCAATCTTGGTAGTGTTTTATTTTGCTTTGCTTTTTTGGAAGACAGAAAAAAAATTTTCAAGTCATATCCCTTGGTCTCTTCCTTTATAGCTTCAAGGTTTCCTATCATGTCTAGACCTGCCTTCCCAAGTCACAGATCTGTTGTAGTAGGAGACAGTTCTGGTGCCTAGTGGGGGGTGTGGCTTGGGAGGAGGGAGAGATAGAGGCTCCTGGTGGGGCACCCACTGCAGTGGTGTGGGGAGAGGAGGCCAGAGGATGTGGTGGGGAGGAAGGCTTGGCCTGGGGGAGCACGTCTCAGAGATTGCCTGCCCGGCTATGAGGTGCTCTTAGGACACCCACTGGAAGTATTCAGAATGTAACTAGAAGTGCAGAGCTGGGCTCCAGAGAGCCACCCTGGCTGAGGTGCTGGCACAGGGATCAGGAGGGAGCAGGCAGGAACCAGACAGGGAGAGTGCCATAGGCATGGATTGGGCATGTGCCCTAGATGCCAAATCTTAAAGGGTCCAATGTGAGAGGCCCCGGGAAAGCAGTCTAAAACAGTAACACACAAGGTAGATGCATCATATAGCACTGATGGCTTTTATTGCAGATTTGTGTCATTACAAGGATAATCTGGGAATATATTAAAAAACCCTCCCTTTTATATACACAAAACATGCTACATGGTACACTTGTGAGAACTGCTGAGGTAATAGGCACGCACCCAGACGTGGACAGTACCAAAAGCCCCACATCTCGCATGCCTGACCCATGTGCCCACCGGGGAGGGTCTCACCTTCCTGACTCATCTCTTGCCCCTGGCTTGGCAGTCGTCCCGGTAGTACTGAGTCTGGCAGAATTCAGGAAGCCGCCATGATGCAGCGCACCAACCAAGGAGTCTGGTGGCCCCTGTCCTCCAGAGAAGCGTAGTTGGGGGATGAGGTGCAGACTCTGGTCCACCTGAGCATGGGATCTCCAGTCTGTAGCCATCTGGGGGCCCCAGCACATTAGTGATGACGTCTCTTCAGCTGAGTGTCTCTGGCAAGGTAGGGGCTACTATTGTGTGAAGGTTAAAATGACATGGAGGCTAAAGTATGAGCGGAAGATACAGAACTGAATACACAATCTACATGGCCGCCAGTGTAGCTTTGGGCCTGGCCTTCCCTTCCCTGGCCAGAACCTGCGCCCAGACTGTTCCTACTCAGAGGTGGCGGACTCTTGCCTGGAAGGAAAGGTCTTGTGGTAGAAAAGGATGGGCAAGGGGTAAAGAGAAAGGGCGCCTTGAATGTGTAGGCAGCAGGGGACTGACACAGAGGGCGCTGGGTGAGTGAATAACTGGGTAGAAGGTGGTGACAATCCTGAGAACAGAGAAAGCATAAAAACAGAAATGATTTTTGAAATTTGAGTAGGTGCCCAAGGGGGTTCTTAAGAGAGGGAGACAGGAACCCCTATGTGAGAGATGAGCCTTGTGGACCTTCCTGGAAGAATCCAGGTGCGCCAACACCGAGGATTAGTCTTTGAATTGGGGCTACACAGCCTATGATCTGCCCTTAGGCTCCAGAAACACAGCATCAAGGAAATGTTTTCCTTCAAAGAGCAAAGTTGGGGACAACTTTAATGTCTGAGAGTTGGAGTGCATTTCGGTGTATATATAGCAAACCCATATGTGTATCTAGACATATCACATGTGATAGTATGTAATGCATATACATGTGGCATACACTTAAGTGCATGGAGAGGCTCATGCACATGTATATCGTGAAGGTATTTTGCAATGGTGTTTTATTGTAGGGATAATTTATTTAAAGAAAGAGTTGTCTGCAGTCCTGTCCTAGAAACATGAGGGGCTGTCTGATTTGAAGGAAAGTAGAGGAGGGACAGAGAACACAGTACCAGTCCAGTTTCATTATCTGACACAGTGACTTCAAAAAACAGAATCCAGCTCTCAGTCCTTACAGCCCAGGATGAGCTGGTGAGTAGTTGCTCATTGTGCTGGGGCTGCATGCTGGGCAGGCTCCTGCTGATGGCCACGGGAGATCCAGAGGGGAGCGGCTTAGTGGAAGGTGTTGGGGTTGGGCCGGATCATCATCACCACCTTCTTGAGTGAGTAGGAGCCTCCTCGGAACTCAGCCCAGTAGACTCCATCCTGGTAGCGGCTCCGGTAATGGCCCCCGCGGTACCAGACCCCGTTGAGGTTGGAGTGGGCACAGGCATTATACCACCAGCCTCCCTTTTGGTAGTGGGCACAGTTTCCTGCAGGAGAGAAGGGTGCAAGGAGGTCCCTGGAAGCAAGCTTTGTGCCCTGTCCCTGGTGTGCTCAGGTCTCCCGCAAGATCCTCTCTAGGAGGCCTTCAGAGTAAGACTGCTGGAGAGATGAGCCTTCTGTGGCAGAGGTCAAAGGCCAGATTTGGAGCCAGTTGGACTTTATAACTCATGGGCTGCGAGATCACAGACCAATGGCTTCCCTCCCATCCTGCATCATCCTCATCTCTTAGAGGATGGTAAAAATTCCACACCCCCACCTCAGGTCTGGAGAAAGTGAAAGTGGCCTGGGGGGGTGAGCAGGGAGCTTCTTAGGATTTTAAGAGTGGAAAGTGTTGTATTAAGTCTTTATAGAATGACAAAGTAAGTGTTAAAGATGAAATGCCCCTTTTTTCTTCCCCAGCCTGTATTCCATCCAAATAACTTCTTGTGTTATTTCATAAAAGAAGGATATTCCATAAAACTCTTGGCATATCACATCATGCTGAATTTTGCTGCCAAGGACAAGCAGTTCAGAACAATAAGAAGCGTGGGCAAAGTGTGAGTGGGTGCGCAGGGGCACAGTGCCCACAGGGCGGGAAGGACCAGAGGAGCCACTGTCACTGGGGCTGCTCAATTGGGGGGACTGGGCCTGGGAAGGGACTCCTTCCTCTAAGAGGAGCTTTCCTGCCAGGCTTGAGGGTTGGAGGGCCTGATGGAGGGGCAGCCCTGCTCCAGTGGAAATGTTGGGACAGAATGAGACGGTCACAGCAGCCTGAGGCAGAAAGCTGGAGGAGAGCATCAGCCCCGGCACCCCAGATTTCCCAGAGCTGTTCTGGGGCCTCAGCTCAAGGCTACAAGGACCAAATGGCAGTGCTACATTTGGGGAGTAAGGAGACCCGTGGCACACCATGGTCTGCTTCCCATCCACCAGGGTGCCCCTTCTGCTCTGGCCTCACATATCCCAAGGGTAAAGAGCCCTCACATAGTTCTCACTGCTCTCCAATGTCACCCCAAAGAAGTCTACAGCAGACCCTGTCCCAGTGCTGAGGGTCATCCTCCTGCCCTGCTCTTTCGGAAGCCTTGGCACAGCAAGGGCCTGCTTCTCTACCAGGGTCAGTACAGTACCAGTGTAGTGCGAGGACAGGTGGGTCGCATCTCTCCTGTTCCCCAATGTCAGGACACCTGTCTGCTAGAGCGTGGCTGCCTGGGGTCCTGGAGTGAAGCTCCTTCACCACAGTGCATAGGTATTAGGGCATGCCTAAAGCACAGGCCATTCCTGGGACAGTCCCCAGAAGCTGCTACTCAAAGGTGGGAGGACTTGCTTTCAGACCAGGACTGAAAGGAAGACCAGGCAGGAGGAGCCAGGCTCACCCAGGAAAGCAGACTTGGCCTCAGCCCAGAGGTGGTGCTAGCTACAGGGGTCACCAACCTACAGATTGAGTTTGGGGCCTTGGGAGGCATCAACTGTGGGGAAGTGTGATGTCAGCACTCATGGCAGGACTGTATCTGCGTATCTTATTATTTCCTGTGTTCTCCCTTGTTTTGTTTTGTTTTTATAACAGTACCTTGATTTATTTATATGTGGTGCTGAGGATCGAACCCAGTGCCTCCTTCACATGTACAAGGCAACGCTTTACCACTGAGCCACAACCCCAGCCCCCTCCCTTGTTTTTTTTTAATCTAATTAAAACTTAATAAAGACCTGGGTTTGAGGCACATGACCTTGAACAAATCACTTCATGTCTCCTATCTGGTTTCCTCTCCGCATTGCATTAACATTACATGCTAGACACAGTAATGGCCAAGAGCCTGCTAGCATCAATGCTAGCTCAAGCCCCTGCTGTGTGCAGGTACCTGATAGAGTCCTATCAGGTACCTTCTCTCTAACCTTCTCCCTGCCCTGCAAGGTAGGTATTGTCCTTACTTATAGATGTGGAAACCAAGGCCCAGGGAGATTGTGCAGTGTGCTGAGGAGGTAGGGACAGCATTGGAACCCAGGGCGTGTCTGCCTCAGACAGGTGAGGAGGGCACAGCCTGGCATGGGAGTGTCCATCTCTTCGCTTTTCCCTTTTGGTAAGTGCCACTGTAACCTAGCTTTGCAGAGGGAATCTGAGGGCAGTTGGTAGAGGAAGGGATATTCAGGAGGTGGGAACAGGGTTAGAGACTCCTTGTTCTCAAGCCCTTGGGTTGTGGCCTCTGGCTTTGGTTGACTTCTTTTCCCTGCCCTGCTCCTGGGTTTGACTCCACTTTTCCTACCTGTGTAGACATCATGATCTCTGTCCAGGGTGGTGAACTGCTTGCCATTGTGCCAGGTGAAGGAGTCACCCGCATTGCCATGGTAGCGCCCCAGCCGCAGCTTATAATACTCGCTCTCTGGCTCCAGGCGGAAGCTGGCATATTCTGCAAAGACCTTGCGGCCGGACCAGTCCTCCATGGTCACCAGCAGTTTGTAGTTGCCTTGGTTTGTCAGCCAGTAAATGTTCTCCAGGCCCAGCCAGTACTCTCCATCAATGTTCCCAAACCCTTGCTGGGGAAGATAAGGGAGAGCATGAGTTTGGAGCTTGTAGTGTCCTCACCAGCGGCCAGACCCTCAGCCTGGGTAGAGCAGCCCAGGAAACAATTGGAGCCAGAGACAGGCCTGGGCTCCAATCCTGGCTCCTCTACATGGTGGCTGTGTGACTTGAGAGTCACTTCACCTTTCTGAACCTCAGTTGTGCATCAGACATGTGGAGAGGGGTCATGTGGAGAGCAGACCATGCCCCCTCTGGGCCAGGTATCATGGGAGTCCTGGGTTCCTCACCTTCACTTGAGGATGCTATTGCCTTCCCCACATGCTGCTGCAGGATCACAGACAATGTGGTCAGTTGAGAACCTGGCACACAGTAGGCATGTGGCCGGCATTCGTGGACAGAGTCCTCACCTCCCTGCTGTGGGTGCGTGTAACACATAAGCCCTAGCACACCAGACAGGTGTGAGCTGTGAGGGACATGTCGCATCCACCCAGGCTCCCTTCGAGATTGAAAACCTACTAGTTTTTAGCATTTTTTTTTATCTTTAAAACTTTATTTTTGTATATACATTTGTTTAAAAATCAGTGAATTTCTAGGCCAGGCTCAGATAACTGAAGGGCTTTTATAAGTACTTTATATTGTCTAGACCCAAAGTATGCTATAAACATAGTCTGAAGTAAAATGGGAAATAACATTTTTGAGAAGATAAGCTTAGAAATTCTAGTCCAGTAAGTGAAGGTGTTTCCTTTCTCTGGCAGCAGGGCTGATTGTACCTGGCTGCTAGGCCACCAGTTACAGGTATATCTAAGAAAAAAGGGTATAGACCTCCTAAAACAAAATCAACCGGTCCACCTCGTATCACAGTACAGATTTCACAGTTCAAATCACCTGTACCCAAAGCTATGCTTACAAAACCTTTGAAAGATGCATTCTCTGTCAAAATGGGAGCACTGCCATTGGTAAGCCAGCAGCTATTCGGGCCTGTGTTACATGCAAGATGCACCGAAAAAGACTGCCGTTAGGCCCCAGAGAGCAGCATTAAGTTCAATATTTGTAGATCCATGTTCAAGTAGATTCCTTTCTGCTTCTGGTAGTTGTTCAATTTTTCTGGCTATGATATCAAAAATTGAGTTTTTCTTGATAATATCATGTGGTTTATGGTTTTCCGTTTTGACCCTGTTGCTCTCCTCCCAACAGCCAATGCCTCGCCTGTTCTTCCTTTAACATGGGGTGGGGGTGTGGGGGGGGTGGGGGCTTAAGCTACAAACTTTACTTGGCTCATCCCGCCACCGCCATCTTTAGCTGACCTTACAGTTGTTTTTGACAGGTAGTTTTAGGGTCATCAGCTGCATGTTGGCCACCAAAGCCTCGTAAGCAGATGGGTTCATTGGCAGTAACCATTTCTAGGGTTTGGTGAGCACTTACAGCATGTGTGCACTGTCACAAGAACTTCACCAGGATACTTTAATAACCCTCATACCGACCCTAAGAGCAAGGCGCTATCATTATCCTCCCTAGATGGTCCAGCCAGGACGAGCAGGAAGGACACAGTCCTGGGCACTGCTCTGCCACCTCCACAGGAGAGGAGGAAGTGTGGAGGAGAGACTCCAGGAGCCTCCAAGCTGGGATATGGAGGAAAAGCAGAAATATAGGCTGGCCAGGAGGTGGTCCAGGGAGCCAAGACAGAGAGAGACCCAAGAAGGGGGTGTGGCAGAGCCACATGTAGAGGCATTATGGCCAAGGGAGTCATGGCTTTGGTTTCCGAGGGCTAAGCTGCAGTCACTGCTTTGCATGTCACAGCTAGGTAGCTGTGAGCAAAGAACTCTCCCTTGTCACCTATGTCACCAGGTCATGTACAAGATCCCTGTGGGTACTCCCATGGCCCGAGCCATTTAGGCTGTCCTCAGTACCAGAAGAAGGAGAGTGGGGTGCAGCCTTGCTTTCTACAATGATGAGCACTGCAGTGCCCTACAAATTGAGATGGGCCCTACAGTTAGGACTCCAGTAGTAGCAGAATTCTCTCCAGGAGCCCTTTGGGATCTCCCAGGGCTGAAAGCCTCAGGCCTTGCCCCTTCTGGGCACCAAGAATAAGTCATACCCATGGAAACCCCAGCTGGAAGCAAGAGTCTGCCCACACCCAGGCTGGAGCAAGCAGTCCCTCTGCCCTGTGGGGTTTTGGTGGTCCAAACTCTTAACTACTGTCCTGTGACAGATGCTAGCAGTAGGCAGAGTAAGGAGCCTGTCCTTACCACCCTGGTGTTTGCAAAAATGGCCCTGTCCTCATTCTAATTGCCTTGGGGTGGGCCAGTCACCTGTGGGCAGTGCAAACAGGCCCCACTGGGTCTCACCTTGTATGTCTCCCAGTTCCTGAAGAAGTTGACGGAGCCATCCAGGCGCCTCTGGATGACAGTCCAGCCCCCGGGGTCATGTCTCTGGTCACACCACACCTGCATGAGGCGGTTGGTGTTCTCAGGCTTTACCAGGTAGATGGAGCTGGTGTCATGGCCATCCTCCAGGGCCTGCAGGCAGTCTCTCCATGGGCCTAGGGACACAGACGTGCACATGTCACATACTGCCTGCCACAAGGCCACAGCCCCAGATGTACCCTAGATAGGCACAGCCTCTGGCAGGGCTCCAACAGGAAGCCACAGGCCTGTAATTTGAGGGAACTGGTTTTTGTCTTGCACATTTGAGTAATAATGTGGTATAAAAGTAAGGACTTCAAGCCCATCTTCTGCCCTCACTGGTTCCTACTGTGACCTCCCAGCACGCTTCCTCACTTCTCCCCACCCTTGACTTCCTTTATTTGTAGAATGGACATCATATTTACATCCTTCAGGGTTGTCAGGATTTCAGAGATTATTTGTTTCCTTTGTTCTAAGGTTGGTCACTTCAGCAAGAAGGTACTGACTTGAGTCACTAAGGTCCAGACAAGCTGGGGTCCTCCTTATTCATCTCATGGAACATTAGGAGGTCTTCCAGGTCTTTCAGCCACATAGTTCAAAATACATAAAATCACCACACATTTGTGTGGAAGTTCCTGGAGTGACTTTTTAAAAAGTTAGTTCTGTTGGTGAAGAGGCGTATGCTGCTGGATGTGGCACCGCCTGCCAGCACCAGGCAGCTTCCTGCTCTGCTTCACTAGCCAGCCTGGGCTTCACCTAACTGCACTTCTGAGCGCTGGCACACCTCAGCCAGGTTCCACATCTGCCCTTCCAGTGACAGCGCTCCATGACACCATTGCAGCTTCTAGTAAGAACTTCTGAAGGATTACAGGGCCCAGATTAGCCCAGAGTTTGGCCAAATAGCCAGAGACATCTGAATGATGCAGGGAATCATACACCAGTCTCCAAGCATCTTTTGGTGGTACCAGGTTCCCTTTCAGCTCAATCTGTGTTTCCTGAAGGAAGCTCACTGTGACCAGATGCTCAGAGCCCATGCATTCTGAGATCACCGAAGGGACAATGTCTGGGACACACCTCAATCTATGGCTCTCCTCAGAAACTGAGGCCAGAAGGGTTCTAGGCCTCTGAATAGCTTAGGTCTTTCAGCCCCTCCACCCTGAGGTCCAGCCTCCCCTAGCAGTTTCCTTTGTTCTAAGGTTGGTCACTTCAGCAAGAAGGTACTGACTTGAGTCACTAAGGTCCAGACAAGCTGGGTCCTCCTTATTCATCTCATGGAACATTAGGAGGTCTTCCAGGTCTTTCAGCCACATAGTTCAAAATACGTAAAATCACCACACATTGGTTCAGGTTCTTTAAAATACTTCTCAGACTGAGAATGGTTAAGATCAAAAGTGCTTAGAAAATTTCATCTTGCTCTATTAGTATGTATGTTTATTCAACTGCTATTAACTGTGGCCCAGCCCCCACAGGGCTGCAGAAGCCCAGGAGAGCATGGCTGCTTTGGCAGATGTGAGGAGGAGCTGGCCTTGCCTGCCTCCTCTCACTCCACTTCCTGAGGAATCCTGTCTTTCCCCCTCCTTGGGGTCGGGGCACACTCAGCTTTGCCTGTGAAGCCCCAACTTCTCAGCTTCAGTCCTGGCTGATGCTTGGCTTAGCTAGCCCACACATGATGGATGGTCAGATGGGTGAGGTTTGGGATTGTCCTTGTCGGACATCTCAGCGGGCTCTTCCAGAGAACCCATCTTAGAGCCGCCTTGCTCTGGGCACCTAGGGCGGCCTGGGTGCTGACAGTCACTGCAGGCCTCCTCCTTGAGGGTGCTTCTCACCCATTTACCAAGCCTTCTCCCATATGAGGCCCAGGGCCGGCTCCCATGCATCCCACCCCAGCACAAGGCATGGCACCAGTGGCTGTGTCCTCCCTTCCTGCCCTTGGCCCTCTTCAATATCCATCCTGAGGAAGGGAGGCCAGACCTCCAGGAAGAACATTCAGGAAGGAGAAAAAGGTTTTGGTTGTGTTTGGTCCATGCTCCAGGGACCAAGGCAGAGAATAGGAGTCTGTCCCTAACAGCTGGAGCAGAGCGCCAGTGGGCGTGGGAGGCCGCCCAGCTCCTCGCCAGGTCAGCCATGCAGGAGGGGCGGTTGATGCTCATACTGGAGATGGAAGATCCCCAGGGCCTGCAAAATAACATCACTTAACCAAGCCACAGGCCTCTCCTGCAGAGCCACTGGGCTCGTGGGCTCTCATGCGGTAGAGAGGCTGTCCTTGAAGGGGTTACCACGTAGGGAGCCTTTGGAGGCCAGTGAGAGGTAGCAGGTGAGTCCTGTGGCCCAAGCCTATGTTCCTTCATGGCTTCAGCTTTACCTTTGGCATTCCTACAAAGGGTTCCTTTTAAAAAGAAAGTATTTTAAAATGTTTTGGGGTCTCCAGTCCCTTTAGGAATTTGGGGAAAGTTCTAGACTCTCTAGAAAAATGCACAGACTCACATAATTTTGTATAGTTTCAGAACAGAAGGAAAATGGACCCTCAAGCCCTAGGTTATGACCGTGAGCTCTAAAAGAGTCTTGTCTGCAGTAGTAGTAATAACAATGAATAATAACAATAGATAACACATGTACTGGGCTCAGGGCAAGCCCTGTCTGGGTGTTCCCTCTACCCACACTCCAGTGAGGTGGCAGCAGGCTCCTCATTTTACAGATGAAGAAAGCAGAGCCCCTGAGACATTAAGGGACCCCCAGGTGACAAAGCCAGTAAGGTGCAGGGTGAGTCTTTGTCTTCAGATGGTCTGGGTGGTCCAGAGTCCTGACTCCAAAGCACTCTTGTTTTCCCCAAACCAGAGTGAATTTGAGGGTTGGGGGCCCAGGCTGCAATCTCTGTCCTGAGGACTACTTTTTAAAAAATTTTATTTTTTTAACCTGGTAGTCATCCCAGGTCAAAAAAATAATAATAAAAACAGTTCTTCTTTGGCAAGGTGTTAAACTCCTTTTTAAAAAGTCTGCTTTTTTTTTTTTTCCTATTGACTTCTTAATATCCTTTGCACAGTTTTCAACTATTTTAAGTATCTTATGATGGAGAAGTTTTATCTTTTGTTTTTTTTAGGCAAATCTAGTAATTTTCTAATTTATGTCCTTCTAGAGTCATGGGGCAGGTATAATCAGGAAGCATTTTGCATTTCATGATGTTAGATAAGACTCTCGTATATCCCTGCAGCCTGTTCTTTGATACTCAGGCCTGTTGGCTTTCAACAAGAACTGTGCCCCCTGTGCACATGCATGAATATACCACTGTGGTTCTCACCATCACATACATCCACAGATGCCAATTAAAAAAACACACACACTATAATATAGCAGAAAGATCAGTAGAGCAAAGGCAAGGGAACAGCGGCCAGAGGTGGGGGGAGTACCAGGAACTGAAATAAAGCAAATTATATTCCATGCTTTTATAATTATGTTAAAATGAATCCTAATGTTATAAATAACTGAAAAGAAGCAATAAAATAAAAACTGAAGCCCCAAACAGTTCTCCTTCGTAGACCTCCACCAAATCTCACACATCCATATGCATTCCTTTCCTTACATTAGAGACACTGTGGCAAATGTAAAAAATGCAAACAATGAGGGAAAATTTGTTCAAAAAATAGGTTGCATTGAAAAACTGGCAGCAATGAAATAATGGCTGCATTAAAATAGCCAAGCCCAAGCCTCCTGATTTGATGGGCAACCTACAAATGCAGCAGGGGAGTGATGCAGTGGCACACCTGTCATATGCAGTGTGTCCAGAATTCTGCAACTGTAACGTAAATAACATAAGGCCAATATGCAGGTTGTTACACATAATGCCCCGGGGGGCTAGGGGAGGCCCATGGTTGAGCAAGTGTGGCGCTGAAGAAGGGACTCACAACTTGGAGTCACGAGCCACTGGCTCAGATCTTGGTGGCTTCACCTACTCACAATATGACTTGGGCAGTTTCCTCACTGAGCTTCAAGTTCTCTTGTAAAATGGGGAAGGAGCACTGGCTATCCTAAGGGTCTCACCAACGTGGAGCAGCCAAGAGGCCATCCTGAGCCGGTGCCCAGCACAGTCTCTTTCCTCCTGTTATAGGTGAAAGCTGACATGGTGGAAGTTATTCATACTCTTTCCTCTGTCTCTGTTGTCTCTCCCTCTCCCTCCCCACCCACTTCACACACATATACACACAAACACAAACAAACATCACTGTATATTTTGAATTTCCAAGACTAAATATAAAGCTATTTGCTAATAGATATTTTTCACAGGCATAGTTTAAAAGTCAGAGTTTCAGCGGAAAAGGCCACAAAGATGTATTGAAATAAAGAATGGAAATCTTTTTTTATCAAGGAAGCTAAATTTTTGACGTGCAGTGGGTGAAACCCTCCCTCCAAAACAGTGCGAGCGCCCAGGCACTATTTGACTTGGCTCCCCTTCTGAGAGGGCGGCTCTGTCCAGAGAACCAGGCCAATACTAACTCGGCAGCACCTAGGCCCAGAGCGGTGTACGTGCCCCAACCTCACCTCTATAAAGACCACATTTACACCACAGTTGGAATGTTCCACGTGAAGAGCCATGCAGCCGCCATGGCTGAGCTGAGCCAGTGTGGTTCCCTAGAGGGGTGGCAAGGGCACAGGAAGGACACAGGACCTGATGCCAGGAGGAGAGAAGGAATGCTGGCACATCCCTCCTGCAGAGATGCAGGTGTTGGGCTCTCGAACCCTAGTGTCAGCCCTGGTAACTGCCAAGCCCCCCTTTGCTTCCCCTCCTTTGGTGTTCTGGATAGAGGCATCAAGACACCAGCCGCCCAGCCGCCCAGGAAACCAGACTTCACTGATGGCCAATGCAGTGTTCACCGCCTCCAGTCGGGGCCTTTCTGGTAAAGGCAAGTTAGAGCCAGAAGCCAGGCCAGGCCATCGTGTAACTTCCTCTTCTCTTTGCTTTCTGTGGTCTGGGCTGGACCTGTGTCAGGCCAGCTCACCCACCTAGGCCCCAGCATTGAAATGGGTTCACAAACTGCAGCAGCTTTCAATGAGGGCTCCCCACACCATGAATATATGAGCAGAGCTACTGCAGCTCCCCCTGAGGAGCAGCAAGAGGGGCAGAGGCCCTCTGAGTCATGAGCTG